GAAAAGAAAATCGTTCAAAGCTTTCTTTCTACAGCCAAAATTATAACTAAATATTCTTCGGAAAGTTTTTTCTTTCTATTTAAGGTGAATTAATATCGACTAGAGTCTTTTTAAAGTTCTGTAAGCTTAAGCTTATATCAAACCTCATACGAGGTCAGATCAGTGTCTCAGTCAAATCTTAATACAAACGTGCATAAACTAGCTTCATAAACTGCGCCGCTGGACTTCATGAAATTATATTTAAATAAAATAATTACTCAGGCTTACCATATTTCGAGATGCAGCTCCTGAAAGCTATCAAGTAAGGCAAGGATCGCTTGAGCCTTTATAATACTCGTACGCATCCAGCAAGGTGAAAAACAAAAACGATGCCATCCGAAATCGGATTATCGGCTTTGACAAGCGACGCATTTTTCAACCAAAAACCCAATAAACAAACCAGCCATGAATAAGAGAACACTCTTGATAGCAGCTGTATTTCATTTTGCACATCCAGTGGAAAAGACAGTTAAAAACATCACAAGTTGACTCAAAACTCTGTCAGCTTCAGCTGTAAAGTAAACAACTTTCAAGATGCTGCATAAATTTTACGCATGAACTCTCCTGTCAAATTTTGACCAATCAGAGCATAAAAATTGGACGTGGAGCGTGACCAACACGTGCCCATGGTAAGAAAAGGTCTTCCAAGGTCTTCCCCGCCTGTATTTTAAAAACACTGGCTGAATTTTTGCGTCTGAAGTCAGTTTGAAATCAAAATCGTAATAGTGCGGGGCGATACTGACATAAACACAACATGTTTGATATGAATTTAAAACAAAAGTAAACGTGAGCCTGCGATCATTTGAAAACGAGTAAATTGTCAGCGGATAACTTCAAAAAATACTCGACCTCCATGGGTCGACACCTGAGCCCGCGATTCAGTCAAGTGATAGTGGTCAGCGGATACCCTGTTTTGACAGCTGTCAATTGCTGACAACATTGATGTGCAATCAGCTTTCTCCTGGGCTCCCAAAGTAGCTAGAAAGTGTGAGAGTAAACATTGGTATGCCTGTGGTGCGGACGGACGGTCGGTCGGTCGGTCGGTCGGTCGGTCGATCACGTGATTACCAAATTTTCTGGTATGGGTAGATTTCCTTAGCAATGGGGCTCCGCCCACGCGCGCGCGCTTCGCGCGCGCGTGGAGCTCCGCTATAAATTTTTTTAGAATCAGTCATGTGTGCTGCTACCTTGCGAACAGTGGTTTCTCCAGGCCGGACGCTACGCTACTACTTTAATAATATAACATTCTTCTCTGAGTTTCATATGATTACTTTGAGTCGTTTTCTCCTCTCACCAATGTCTAAATCAATCGGCCATTGCACCGTCCAGTGATGTCACTACCTGAAAACCGGGTAGTGATTTTGATTGGTTGATTGTCTAAGCATTCGCATAATTATGTGTAATTTGTTTAACTATGAGAAATTTTAGGGGGATTTATTGTCGTTTGATATTCAGCAGATCGAATCCCTGGCATGCTTGCATGCTTGCATGGAGTTCAAACATTTTGATAATCTTTATTGTAAACAGCAAAAACTTGCCCTTGTCTTCGAAACGGAATTGCTAAATTAAACTGCAAATGAAAAATCACTGCGGAGAGTTGGTAGGTTTTTCAGTCAGAGCCGGGCCTTTAATTTGTGGTTTCAGCAGTGATTTTGTTTATTTGAAGTTTTCTTCAAGGTAAGTTATAATTTGACCTTCTTGTCATTTCCACCGTCATGATCCTTGCTTTCCTTTTTTCTTTGTTAAGGACCAAATAGCTTCTTTTCAATTAAGGCAAATCACCGTGTTTTTGAAGTAATTGTTCCGTGGGTGTGTTTATTTCAATGCGTGATTGTGACCGAGTTTGATTCTTGAATTACACAACCGGGTCAGAGTACTGCATGCCGTTGACAGTTTGAAAGTTAAACATAAATTATGATCGTAATGAGCAACGCAATTCTGTATCATGTATGTAGAAATAAACGATATTCTTGGTTTGCCACTTGAAAATCGTGTTTTAGTTTTTGCATGAATTAAAGCAAAGGAGTAGCACTTTTCGTCACTCTACAGAATCAATGGCCGGTTGATTCAGCCATTACTGAGGGATCGGAGTAAAAACGACTCGAAGTAATCGTCTGAAATACAGGCTTAAATCCTCTACTGCCATTACAGAATTCCATCTATTGATCCATGTCACCCTTGAAAACACGGGCCCCATGACTATTTGTGCACTCACAAAGCATCAAGATCAGCTGATGCATGTTGGTCCTTTGACTCTAGACTGAAGTGTTATCATATTGTTTCCATAATTGCAAAGCGATAATTTGAAGCTTGCGCATTTTACTCTGTGTTTAGGAAATGCAATCGCTCTTGACAACTTGTAAATTATTTTGTCTTTATATATAAATATATATTTTTTACGATTTTTAAGCCTGCATAGAATACCAGAAAAACAAACTGGAAGCCAAACTGTTTTGGATTGTGCTCATGAAAGTTGTTTTTATCAGTAGCTATCAGTATATACAAATTACCTACCATTTTCCTTATACTTTCCATCAAACTGAAATATCTTGGCTTTTTTTCCGACTTTTCGATTTGCTTTGTATCATTTTATATTTTTAAAAGCTGAATTCTTTCATATGAATTTATGCTTTCAAAAGAAAAAAACTTTGAGGTAATGTGTGTAACTTATACAACCATGGTGACAGGTATATATTTTGCCTAATTTTTTTACCTCTTAACATGCACATCTCCTTCATCCTGTGGATTTCGCTGGAGACAAAAATGTAGCCTTTGATTTCTCCGCAGATGCTTGCCTTTTTGGGCACCCCGTTTATAATTATTTTGACTATCAAGATTTTTTTAAGCTTGCTTCAGACTGAAAGTTTGAGAAATGTGTGAAAAATTAAGTCTGAGTTCTCACTATATGTCATCAAACCAGAACCACTGACAAGGTTCTGAACAGATTGGCATCTGACTAGTAGGGAATTTTACTGGCCAAAACCCAGAGTTGTCTGACTCTCGCAAAATGTTCCAGTGGCAGAGAGTGGTGAGAAGCAGGCTGTATTCACAGTGGGCTAGAGAAGGTTGCAATCCTTTCCACTTTTGCATCTCTCTAACTTCTCCTATCTTTAACACTTCTAGCTACAATCGGTGACCAAATTGTTGATACACTTTCTTTGAATAGGGTTTATGGCTTCAGAGATCAAAACAATCCATGCCCACCCTTCTCTCCTCCCTTCAAAGTTGGGGTGTAAAATTTGTTGTTTTCTACAAGTAGCTTGAACAGTGGCACAACATTACATGGAGGGACTATGGGGAAGGGAAAGCTTCATTTTTCTCTTTTGGAGTTGGCAAAATGTCAGAAAGATCCTTTAGGGAAAAGTGTCTCAACTAATTTTGTCACCAATGTAGCTAATAATTCACAAGTGCATCAAAACATTCCCTTTGTTAATCTTTAGAAACAGTTCTTTTCTGGGCGGACATTTATTTATTATTGCATTTCAGGAGTATAATGGGGCCATTGAAGCAAAATCCTGATGGGGGAAAGTCTTAAAAGAGGTAAGGATGCATTGAACTAGCAAAATACACACTGTACAACATTAACTTAGCACTTATACGACCACTTGAGGCAGAATATTGCAATTAGCAGCATCAGTAAAGGTTATAATACCATTGTTACTCTTATTTTATTTGATCTTTATAAATGTCCACACTGCAGATTTTGCAAAACAAAGACAGGTTTGTTTTTGTTCCTGAACAAAAGCAGGAAACAAGTGATGTCAAAGTGTTTTTTGCATATGTTTTTTAGACTTGAAAAATAAGCAGAAATCAGAAAAAGTGTACCACACAAAAACAAGCACATATCATATTTCCTCAAATATATGAACCTGGTCCCTGGCTACTCTCATAGGAAAATAGAAGAAAAATAGAACCAAAAGAAATCTCTAGCTGTTTGATTCCACTCCTACTTGTTGTATTACCCGGTAACTTGAAATCTTAGTGAAATCTCTGATTAGTGTACTGAAAAGTTTTGCTTACCTCCATTTTAAGTGAAGTGTTTGTACGTTTAATCTAGCTCAACGAACAACTGAATGTATTTTCACTACTAATAAACAAAAATAACTTACATTATTCGCAACATTTTATTTTGTGGTATCAGATTTTGAAAAAGTTTTCTCTGCAATGTTCATACAACTGTTGATCTTCTGTAAATCAACCAATTTGTGCAGTGATAAAATGAAGTCTGCAAATTTAAATTTCAGGTAACTTTGTTCATGTTATTTGCTGCTCTTTTTATGGGTTATATTAAGTCTTTGGAGCAACAGATGTTATTCATCTCTCTGGGTTTCCTGCCCTCATGTTTAAATTTTGGATACAAAGAAATGTTTAGTTTAGTAGATGTTCTCCAAATGGCAGTTGTCATTTATTGAGTTGGATTTTTGCTGGTCTTGATTTTTATGCAGACGTTTAGGTATCTCTGCCTCACAAAATCAATAGTTCTGCCATTTTCAGTTTCATCCTCTGGAAACAACTGAACTCAAAACAAACTCATTGCCATGGCTTTCTCAGTTGTACCGTTTATTTTTCAGGCAATAGCTTTTGTACTATTGATGTTATTTTCCTGGACATCGCAAACATCTACCAAATTTGGTCAAAATGCTAGCTGGTTATCAAGAATTTGCCTTGGGATTTGAGCCAATCAGAAATTGAGAATTGCCACAGTTTTGTTTTTGAAAAATATTAATAAAACAAATGCTCTTTTTTCAGTTACTAGTTTATCCAGGTAAAATGCTTCAATATAACAGTTACTGTTATGTCAATGAACGTGGAGAGAGAATAAAATAGAAAAAATTCCGGACTGCCCAAAGCTAATTCACCATCAGGCAGTTGTATCTTAAGAATACTAAGGGAAATGCAGTGTATTTTGCATACTGGGCTAGAACTCAAGATTGTTTTGATCCCTAATTAATTTGAATTGCATGACTAACAGATTGGAAGGATGTTGGACTAAAGAGGAGAAATACAATACTGAAGCAATGATCAAAGACAATGTCAGGGCGTAAGTTGTTGATTTCATTTGATGTATTTATAAATATGTAGCATACTTGTACTAAGTAATTAAATAACTTCTTAAAAAGTTCTCTAATTTTGGATAAGATTATTGCACGGGTGAAGATTACCACAAGAGCTCGCAGACTTAGGCTGCAGCATCACTGAGAGTTCTGAGAGTAACTCATGGGAATTGAAATGCAAATTTCTGTGAATGATCTAGCGCACATTTTTGGCATTATGGACACAGACGTTACTACTTGCTGTCTAAAAACTGTATTTCCAGGGATATCAGCGAGCCTAAAACTCCTTTAGGGACAGCATTGGACTAACTCAAAGCAATCTGCCCTCCATAAACCTTTTTGTCATGTCTTGAGGGTGATTATAACGAGGCATGATAAATCTGGGAACAACGTGAGAACAAAACAGAGGGATTTGCGGAGCGGAAGGGTGGGGCTCAACTCCACTTCCCAAAATCTGATATCTAAGAATAGGATATGATTACAGTCAGTCAAATGTCATGTCAAACAAAGTATTAACATACATGATTTGAAATTTGTTAAAAAATATTTAAAGAAAACAGAATTTTCTGTCATTTGTCATACAAAACCCTTGAAGAGTGTGTTACTGCAAGAAGAAAAGAGGTTAATTTAGTTAAGCAGATTTAGTAACACGAATTCTGATATTGTAATTTCGTCTTTTTTTCATAAATTTGAATAAGAAAAAAATCATTTTTATGATCGTAAGCACTCCAGTTAACAAGTTACAGTAACATTGATCACTTCTGTTTCTCCTTGAAAGTGATTCTTAATTAGTGCTCATTTATTCATACACTATATGTAAAACACTTTTCATTCACGTGAAGATTATGTTACACACCTTCACGCCTTCACGTGAAAAGTCATGGTGCACTAGAACTCGCTTTTATAAAGAGGCTAAGGACAACTTTTGAGGCTAGTGTGCTGCATTAGGAATTTAGACAATTTAATGCTTGTTTTAAGCCAGTTCTTTTCCGGAATAATTGCTTCAGAATAGGATAGTAACAGAAACAATTTTGCATTGTTTTTCTTCCCCCTGTAGGAATATGTAGTGAACCTTTTCATGGCTGCCGCAGCACCATCACCGCTGGCCAGTTCTGTGGAGAAGACAAATGGAGCCAAGCTCAGCAGGCTTCTTATCGACGGTGGAACAACAGTTCTTAGGAAGATTTTTGATGGTCATCATCCTCCTGCAAACTTGATTACTGACGTAAATGCTAATTACTCCATCCTTAACAATCTCTTACGTCGTCGAGTTCTAAATGGCCATCAGTGGGACAAACTATTTCCACCTTGTGGAGTCGCACCAGACTCCAACACCTTTGACATCACTTTTCTGTTTCTCCTTCTGACCGACATTTGTGGATTGACCCCTCCCCCCTCAGGATGGCACACTAAACCACCCTCAAGTGACACGTCTCATGAAGCTAACCTTGCAAGGGTTAAGTTCTATCGCAATATCTTGTATGGTCATGTGACAACTACTGGTGTTGATACACCAACTGTCTCTGCTCTATGGACTGAAATTAGTGGTGTTCTTGTGAATCTTGGCCTTGATCAGGCGGAAGTAGATAGGTTGAAGGCAGAGAAAGGTGGAGAGCAAGATTATATTGACGTGTTGTATGAGTGGGCTGACAGTGAAGAGGATATCAAGTCACAGTTGAATAACTTAAATAAGTCTCAGAGCCAAACGCATCAAGCAGTTGAAGATGTTCGTCAGGCCCAGGTTAAGACACAACAAAGCGTTGATGAAGTGTGTCAGAACGTGAAGGAAGTTGAAGCAGGGCTAAAGGAAATAAAAGAAAGAGCGGAAAAAGACGGAAAAGACAAGGACAGGTCAGAAGAGGTCCTTCGAAATCTTACAAAGTCGGAATTCAGAGGAGACATTGAGTATTATGCGGAACGATTTCAAAAAGGCACCCGTGAGTGGGTATTTGACAGTGTTCAGAACTGGCTGGATGACAGAAGCTCTCAGCACCGCGTGATGGTGATCAGTGGAAATGCGGGGATGGGAAAATCTGTCATCGCAGCTGTGATTTGCAAGAGAATGCAAGAGGCTGGCAGGCTGTCAGGAAGCCACTTTTGTCAGTATAACAATGTACGCTACTGTAAGCCTCAGCTAATGATTCAGTCACTTGCCTGTCACTTGTCCCATGCCTTGCCAGAATACAAGCAAGCTCTTGTGGAACAGCTATCGAGAAATCTTGGCACAGATCTCACCCACATGGGTGTTGAGGAGTTGTTTGCACTGCTTTTCAAGGAACCTCTAAGTACCTTAGGTGATCCAGGAAGAGACATGCTCATGCTGATAGATGGTTTGGATGAAAGCGAATACCGAGGACGGAATGAGCTTCTTGATGTGATTGCAAATCAGTTTTGTAAGCTCCCTATTTGGATTCGTTTTGTCGTAACGACGCGTCCAGCCTTAAACATTACAGACAATCTAAAGCACTTGAAGCCGCTTGAACTGAAGTCTAATGCTGAAGAGAATCTAGAAGATGTCAGGGTATTTTGTCTTAAACGGCTGGAACACATAGTCAAAACAGCGAATGTGGCCGAGTTTGTGGAAAGACTAGTTTTGAAATCTGAAGGACTGATGTTGTACGCCCATTTTCTTATATTGTCGATCACTGAAAATGCATCAATTGTCCAAGAGGGAAACCTTGTTGACAGTTTACCATCAGGAATTTCTTCAGTGTATCATTCCTATTTCAAACGTTTGGAACGTGAGCTCTTGAAGGAACTCGACGTAAATGAGGAGCATTTTCTGAATCTGTTATCTACCATGACCACTTCAAGAGAGCCCCTGCCAGTTGGTTTTGTGTCCAAAGTGTTAATGCCAAGTATAAATTCACCACTCACAAGGCGTAAAGTACTGAGAGCCTTGACTAGTGTGTCTTCACTTCTTCCTGTCCGTGACGATTGTCTTCATGTCATTCACAAGTCAGTCAAAGATTGGTTAACAGACAGTTCATGTTATGTGGAACATGAATTCATCATGGATGAAAATGAGGGACACCGTATATTAGCAGCCCTATGTACTGACGAACTTGATATTTTGAAACGGAAAAGTGTACATAACATACAATGTAGCGCCACTGAGAGGTACGCGCTGTCTCATGGAGCACATCACATGCTGCACAAAGGCGTCAAGAGAGAGCCACATAAGCTGGACGAACTGATAAAGGCCTACATTATTGATATAGACATAGTTTATGCCAAGACCTGCTTTAACAGCACAACAGCGGCTGAAGATCTTCTGTGGCTTAAAAAGCAGGAGATTTTTACGTTGTTATCAAAAGATAACCAAAGTGTTGTGGACACCTTGTTGTTTCTTTTGAGAAAGAATCTCCGTTTGCTTATGGATACCCCTCGTACGTCTCTTCAAACCATACTTAACCAAGGAGGAAAAGTGTTGACTTTTGAGGCGTCAAATCTTTTGCGAAATAAGTATCCTGAAATAGCATATTTGGAAGATGTTCACAACGAGACGCAGCAGGGAGGTGTTGTAGCCCGATTTGAATGTTTATCTGTTGTGGTCTGTTTGGACGTCTCTCCGCAGTTGGATTATATGGTGTGCGAATGTGAAGATGGGATGCTTCGGCTGTGGTCACTCCAGACTGGCAGGCTCGTGTGGACACGTCCAGTCATAGTAGAAAAGAGTTTCAAGACGCCCTGGTTCCTTGGATATGCAAGAAAGCTACTTTCTGTACATGTTTCATTGTTTCGTTCCGTTGCTTTTCACCCTACAAAGGAATGTATTTTACCAGGGATTTTAAGTCAGGCCTACAGTACTATGAACGGAGACTTGAAACCCCTTTTTCCCGGAAGTAACTGTAGATTTTCAGTTTGCTCTATTTCCGGTGACAAGACTAATTGTCTTGAGAGTTCCAAATGCCTTGTCTTGTGGAGTTTAGAAAATGGTTCAGAGGTTGATCGAATCCTTGAAGATGAAGACATTTTATCGTTTGCATGGACTAGCGATGGCAGGCTTCTCGCAATTTCACATTCTTCGGGAGTAATCAGTTTGGTTGATGTGATGTGTGGTTTCAGAAAACTAGCACATACAGCGACCCCAGAAGTATATGGCGCGGTAAAGTTTTCACCCGATCATCGATTTCTCCTTTGTCGCCGTGCCGAAGACGCATTTTGTCTCAAGGTCGTTAGGGATACCCCCAGCACATTTTCTTTAACGGTTTGTCATGATATCCCTTATGACTTGTCTCATGCTTTAAAGAATTTTGATTCTTTCAATGATTGTGGGTTTTTATTTGGTGATCCTGTTACCACAGACGGGTCATTTTACCCTTTGACGTTTTTTCTTGACGATCAACGTCTGTTACAGTACTATTTGTGTACAATAGAAATGGTGGACACTAAAGGCCTTCACCAAAGCAGTCAAGGCGAATCTACTCAAGTTACTGGGATAGAAGTGAGTTTGGATGGTCAAACCGTGTATGTTGCAAGTGAGAAATCAGTCATTGCTAGGGACATGTTCAATGGGAAGTGTAAGGAGATAAACCGCCTGGTTACATTGCAAGATTTCTGTCCTTTGTGTCCTGTGAGCGGAGGTGTCCTAATTTCAACGAATCTATACACTCTCGAGTTTTGGAATTATGATCTGTCCAAATGTATCGAAACGTGGCCTAGCCCGTCTGGAATTGAACAATTGATCCTTGTATCAAAAGAACGAGTAGCAGTTGTAGGAGAGAGGGTAGTGATGATCCTTAATACCAGCAGACGAGAATTCGTACAAACAATCTTAAGTTTTGGGAGAAGAATTCTTACCTGTAACAGTAAATGTCAGCTGTTAACTATCACCGATTCTCACTCTCTTCAGCTGTTACTTTCTCACACTCCTCAGTTTTGGTATGGCCCTACGGTGGTTTGGGAAAAAAGAGGCATTGACATGGGGTGCTATAAACAGGATGTGGCGTTCTCCCCTATGGAACAGTTCCTTATTGTCGGGACGATGAGAGGAGTGTTAGTCCTGGATGCCGAAACAGGGATCAAGCTCCGTACTTTACCGTCATTGTCTCGTTCTTCTAGTTTAACGTTTATCAGTGATGATCAATGTGTTATTACTGGTTCTGACTTAACTGTTCAGGTGTTTAACGTCAACCTGTTTAACGTTAGATCTGGTGAACTTCTAAGTACAATTGATGTGGAAAGCAAAGTGACCTGTTTAGCAGCCTGTCCACTCAATCGTATTCTTGCCATCGGCCTGAAGAACTCCACACCTAATGTCAAGCTTTTGATGGTGTTTTTGCCACGAAGCAAAGACCGTGAAAGCGGAAAAAGGTGAGCTGTTGACAACTTAAACAGTTTTTTCTATTTTACGACTTGCCGGGGTGAAATGTTAGTGATTTAGTTTCCTTTCCTTTAATTTAGTTTTTATTTATTTCCTTAACTTTCCAACCTTACCTAGTGCAGCTACAATATTTACGATTTTCTTGATGGCCAAGCGTAAAGTGAGAATTCAGATTATGCTCGAAAAAGAAAAGAAGGCTGATGAGAAATAAAGTTTTTACGGTTTAAAAGCCAATGACATAAGCGTTACTCGTGTAATGCTTTTCCGTCAGAGATCGAAACCCGATCGAACCACGTGGAAAATTACTTAGATTCCACAGTGGACAGAAATTGAAATTTTCGAAAGAAAAGCCTGTTCACCTTCACTCCAATTTCCATGGTTTCTATTCGCCAGTGAAAGCATTTTCATCTTTACTCACTGCTTGGTAGTCTCCTTATACATTCCAATTTCCCATGTTTTTCACCTGACTGTGAGAATCAAATTTGTCAGAATTAATTTAGTAGCACTTTGGGAAAGTGGTCCTCTCTCGCTTTCTCTTGTTTCCTTTCAACGCCCGCCACGTAAGCTATTGAAATCTCCGAGAAGGAACCCCGTCATTTTTCGACGCTACAATCTCAGAGACAGAATACATTTTTGATTTCCCCAATCTTTCTCTTCACTCTTTGTGAACTCGTGTCCTTTTACACACTCAAGAGTGAGAAAAGTGTACGCGTGTAAATCAGACGTGTCCAAAGGAGAAATGACCTTTGCTTTTACCTGTACGTAGGGGGGAGGGGGGGAGGTGTCTCCAAGGAAATCTGTGGTACAGTCCGCCTGCTAGTATGACGTCATGTCTCACGTCAATGACTTTCAAAATGGCGACCAAAGTGTTCATCGAAGAGACGGATAACAATTTCGATTTTATCACGGAAATACTGTTCTGATTTCTTGGATTTGGAGATTTTAGGGTCCCTATTGACATAGAAAACTAGACTTAAGAGTTTTTGGAATGAAGCGTCCACTGGTGTAATGAATTTTTAAAGATACCTTTCTATCGTTGAGCAAATTTTACAGGCAATCATACCGACCGGTCACACTTTTGAGGGCCAGTAGGCAGCAAGATTGAGGAATTTAGACACAGCAATAGGAGGTTCATCAAAGGATGTATTATACTTTACATTGTGCGTATTTTCAGCTCTTCAGAGCTAGTGGAACCCCATATCAATCCTTTCAAAGTTCGCTTAGCTGTAGCGTTGAAAGAGGAAGCTAAATGACAGGTATTTGTAAGAGACTGTGAGCATTGAATCTTGTTGCTTTACCGCATTTTATTGGGCATACACCTGTAATTCTGTAATTAAATCCAGAAAACCAAGTCAAGTCAAGTCAAGTCAAGTCAATTTTTATTTAAACTCACACAAAATAATTACAGTTAATACAAATTAGTGCTTTAAAATATAAAATCGAGAGGTTGTGAAGGGAAAGAGAATTTCAATTGTAGGTTCATTGTGCAGAGTTTGGAACACCTAAATAGTTCGTGGAAGTAACCGAGTAGGTGACCCAAACAAGAATATGAGTAGAAGGAATATAGATACAAAATAGTTGTTTTAGATAAAAAGTATTACTTCATTAATTAAATAGTAGTTAAGATAATATAATCGTAAAACATTAGGAATCAATAATAGTATTATAACCATCAATCACAGAATTCTTGATATATTGACGAAAACTGGAAAACGGCTTGATTTTCTTAACATCAATATATAAAGAATTCCAAAGTTTTGGACCAGTGTAACTGAGAGAACGAATGCCGTATTGAGTGGTATGAACAGACTTAACAAACAGATTATCACTCTTTGATTGACGGGTATTATATGAATGAATTGAAGGTACTGGGTTAAAATAATTAACAAAACAAGAAGGGCTTAGTTTATGGTACCACTGATAAACAAAAGAGAGAATTTCAAGATGAATTATATCAGAGAATTTTAGGAGTCTGAGAGACTTCAGCAATGGCTCAGAATGAGATCTAGGATCGGAAAAAGTCATTATTCTGATGACTTGTTTTTGCAAAGTAGTTACTAATTTTAGGTAGGTTGGGTATGTGAGACCCCAAACTTGAATACCATAAGTAAGAAAGAGGTAAGTAAGGGAATAGTAAAGCATAATAAGTATACCAACATTAACATAGTACCTTAATTTGGAAAATATACCTACAGTTTTCGATAGTTTTAAGCAGAGTTCATTAACATGATTTTTGAAAGTCAAGTTTGAGTCAAAAGTGACACCTAAGTATTTGACCGTGGAAACTTCTTGGATGTTCACACCATCAGTTTTTAGATTTAATGACTTGTATGGTTTAAGTCTCTTCGAATGAGAAAGAACAAAATTAGTTTTCAAAATACTGAGAGCTGGTCTATTAGATTTCATCCACTCAACCACTGCATGGAGCTCTTGATTTAAGATTAGTTCGAGATCATTAAGGTTTTTACGTGAAAAATATATATTAGTGTCATCAGCAAATAGTGAAAACTGAGCAGTTTCGAAGTGTTCGGTAAATCATTAATATGTAGCAAAAACAACAGAAGTCCAAGAATGGATCCCTGAGGTACTTCACAAGTGATTAGGAGAGAATCAGAGTTATGGCCCTTGCTAAAAACTGGGGTAACTTTTGCCAATTTAAGTTTACTGGGAAAAATACCACAGAGAAAAGAATCATCAATTAGGGATGAAATAAGTGGGGAAATATGAGTCCTAAGAATTTTTAGCAATGGGACTGGAATACTATAAGGACCAATGGATTTGTTATTGTCCATTTGAGACATGTAAGAATCAACTTCAACTGAAGTAGCAGGGGAGAGAAACATTGAGTCAGGAAAATTGCCCTTCAGAAAAGAGGTTGGACAACAGTTCCCACACGGAATGTCTTTGTCAGTGTTTTTACCCACATTAACAAAGAAATAATTATTATTAAAAATGTTAGCAATAGCACAGGGATTGTCAACAGTTTTTCCACTTTCTAAAATACTAAGAATGTAATCAGCTTTAACTTTACTAATGTTGATGATTGATCTAATTCCAGACCAGACTTTTTTCATATTGTTCTTATTACACAAAAAGTAATTCTTGAAATAATCAGATTTGTTTGCTGTAACATCTTTGACAACACTATTCCTGGATTTCTTATGAAGATATATCAAATTTGGATTTGAATGTTTGCACCTAATGATTTTGGAATAGAAGTTATCTCTACATCCAATTTTGGCAAGAATAGGTTTAGTAATCCAGAACTTAATAGATAACTTAATTTCACGTTTGGAGAGCTTTCTACGTGTACATGAGAATTTTTAAATTGAAATATCTGACCATAGATGTCAAATTTAGTGTTGGCATCCATATAATCACGTGAGATGCTATTCCAGTCTAGAAATGAGAAATCATTGGTAAATTTCTCATCATCAAATTTGGAAAAGTCCTTTTTATAGTAATTTAAAACTTTATAGTTTACTTTGAGATTGTCTACAATCAGGAATTGAGGAAGATCGGGGATCGGAGATTTTAGAGACTAGGTTACCACTGATGGCATTCATAGCATAAGTATTTGCAAATATATCATCAATGAGGGTGGCTGATCTTTCAGTAATACGTGTTGGTTGTAAGATATAAGGTAGAAGAAAAAAAGACTTTAGCATTAGTTAAGAAATCATTAGATTCAGGATGACTTTCACAATTTAACAGGTTAATATTATAATCACCCATAATGAAGATGCACTTATTTTCACTAGTTAGTTGAGATAGAGTTGACACCAGATGTTCTTTGAACCTTACAGGGCTAAAGGAAGGGTGTCTATAGGCACAGCAACAAAATATTTTAAGCTTTAGTATTAACTATTTCAACCCAGATAATAGTTTCAAATTCATCATCAGTTGTACTTAGGTCAGTTCGCTTAAAAGCATTTAAAGTATGTCTAGTGTAAATTGCCACACCACCAGCCGCAGATCTGGAGGGCTGTGAATTTAATATATAACCATCCAAGTTATTATTCATTTTGAAACCTGAGGAGTAGTTTTCTCTAGCCTCACTAATTCCTAAGACATAAAAAGGAGAATTCATCAGTGCAAGTATAGTCTGCAGGTCACCCAGATGGGCATCTTAACGTGAAATAAGGACAAATAAGATGACGGTGATGATACATATAAAGCTAATTTGTCAAAATCTGATGGATAATAATATTTAGAATTTATAGGATTAGGTATATTTGACTCAATATCAGAGATGTTTAGACTTCCAAGGCTAGTAATCGTAGAGATAATATCGAGGGAGGGTAGCAGTTCAATGTCAGAGGGTTTCCTAGAATTCATAAGAATGTTAAATTCAATATCATTTAAAGAACTAAAGGGAAATTAATCAATAGTACATATTTTACAGAAAAATACCTTATTGTTAAGTTTTACGTGTTTGCAGTCCTCAATGGTCAGACCATTACACTTGCCATGGATCCACAGATGGGAGATTCCACATTTGACTGCATCATCACAACTTGCTGTTAACTTTTGGCATATGCCACAAGTAAATGTTTGACTATGTGATACGCTGTTCATTTGCTACCAGATAAAGTGGATAAATCTATATGTTCATACATTTAAGCCATGAGTTGAACCATTCGGTCTGTCTCTGATGATGAGCTTATCGAGGGAGAAATAAGCAAGTTTACCTTGTGCTTTAGCTTGTTTTAGCTGAGGCAGTTGTGCCCTTCTTTTCTTCATAAAGTAAAAACCAATAAAAGGTTTCGTTTAATCATTTTTGCCCGTTACTATGTGACGTCATACTGGTAGGAGGAGTGGGTCAATAAACTTAGGTGGAAAACAATAGAGTTACATTCCCCCCTCCCCCTTCCCCCACCCCCGTAAAATCCTCTTCCTTTAGCTACTCAGAATGCTGAAACGAAAAACTTGATTAAAATTATTAACAATATATTTTTTTTAAATTCGCACGCAGATCCTGTGGGGCCACGCTGAAAAAACCCGACAGAATGGATGTGCCACTGCAGGTATGTGTCCCTTAGCAGGTTAAGGAATAAACCAGGGCCGGGTTGTTCAAAGCTGGGTTACTGAAGATCACCCAGGGTTAGTCCAAAATTTGAATTCAGCTATTAAAAAAAGTAAATTCAATTTAATTATTTTTGTCAACAAGTTGATGATTGTATGCTCTTAAAAATAACAGAAAATTATCCGAGAAAATGCTTTTACACCAATGAAAACAAGAAACCCGGGTTAAATTTAATCCTGGGTTAAGCGCTAATCGGCTTTCGAACAACTGGGCCTAGAAAGACTGACTGAGTGATTAATCGCTTGATTGATTTAGATGCACCTTAAAGCGACTACGTTTCTAAGTTAGAATTAAAAAGTTCGCTTGTTATAATTCTTTTTCTTGGTTTATATATATATTTACTATTAACTGATTTCCGTTATAGAAAGGACAAGCATCGAGGCGGCAACGGCAGCGAAAACATCGAGTTTTCCCAAACTTTGTCGCGTTTATTCCAATTCGCTTAAAATGCCCAGCATAGGTGAATTTCCCTGGAGTTGATTTCTTGCAGAGAAAGAAAAATTCGTCGTCGCTTGTTTACGTCCTCCATAACACTTGAAATTAGGTATTTTCACGTGGTGGTCGTGCAGAAACAGCAATGAAATGTTCAAAATAGTGTGCTGTGCGCGCAAAATTCTTGTTTTGCTTATTAAACCTAGCGTTGCTTTTTTGAAGTTCCTTTGCCCTTGCTGTAATTCTAAAGGTATCTTATAACAAGGAGTGCGGAGTCAAAACAACCGACATTTATTCACCATGCTTGCTACACCGATCTGACAACCTCGTGCTTCCCTATCCGGGATTCCTAGTCTTCACAATACAATCCCATATATGGTAACAACACTACTGTTGCCGCCTCCATCTTCGTTGACAAAGCTACATCGATGTTCCAGGAAGAACAAATCGGGTACAAACGTAGAATAAAAGGTTAGAAAGAAGAAAAACCAGCTTGAGGAGTCTGTTTTTCAAAGAAGCCATCTCAGGTCACGATTTTTTTCATTTGGTTAAATGTAATTTAACTAAGTTAACCACCACGAGTTTAGCGGTCAAGCGGTCCACAAGCTTAGCAGTCAAGCGGTTCATAAGCTTAGCGGTCAAGCGCTTCACAAGCTTAGCGGTCTAGCGGCTCTCAAGCTTAGCAGTTAAGTGGTCCACAAGTTAAGCGGTCAAGCGGCCAACAAGCTTAGCGGTCAAGCGGCCCACGAGCTTAGCGGGCATCCAGCGGTCAATTCCATAAGTTCAGGCTCACATGGTTTGTGGTAGCTTTGTACACGGCTAGGATCTGCGAGTTCTTCGTCGAGCGTTTGTGCAGTGGTCTGTGGAGCGGTTCATTTAGCGTCTTTCGTCTTTTTTTAGCGATTTCTGGAGCAGAAATCCTACAGTGTGCTTTTTCTTGTATCCTTTTTCTTTCAAGTACTTTTCAAAGCGTGCGTGTCGTCACGTTCGTTCAGGATGCGAACAACGAACAACAGCTTGGCTACTATATCGTCTCCGGTTACCGCGTCTTCGCCTTCTTCTAGCGGTTCTACCCCAGCTCCTACAGTTAACACCCCAGCTTCACCGCCAAGTCAACCTGTTTCCCTGCCGGACAACAACGCGTTAGCTCAGGCAATTTCAAGAGCTCTCGCGGAATCGCTCCCTCCGTTGCTATCTTCCCTTCGAGATTCAAGTGGCGGGAACTCAAACATTGCCGCGCCGTCTGGTCCTCTCTCCTCGGCTTCGACTTCTACGCCGTCTCCGGCATCCTCCAGCTCCGGTACCCCTGGCTCTACCTCCCAGTCTTCAGGTACGCTTATTGTACCCTCATTTATTTCAACTTACAGCTCATTTGGCGGTCCTTCGGTTGTCTCTTCTCTTCCCGCCACGTCCTCCGCCAACTTGCCTGTAGTGGTTGGGGGCTCTTGTGGTGGCGCGACCGGAACTGCGTCCTCTACGTTTCCAAACCTCAACAAAGCCGTTGTGGTGGGTCCTGGCTATGCTCCAGTCCCGTATAAGCTTGTTTCGAAAATTACAGCAGGGCTTTTTGTAGACTTGGCTGACCTACTTCCGGACAATATCCGAGCTCAAGAAATCGAATCCCAGGCGTTTTTGGAGGGAAAACTGGTGGTATCGGGGTCTAAGAAACGGGTCATCGAAATAGCAGACATCATCACCTGGACCCGTTTCTCAACGTCGCCTTTACAATCTTTTCTATGATTCTTTGCCACACCTTCCCCTCTCGCTTGAAAGATTTAAATCAGTACAAGTTACTCATTATTCAGACCGCAAGGCGCTTTTCTGACAAATCGTGGCTCCACTACGACATCGCCTTCAAAAAAGAAGCCACAGCCTCAGGTTCAACCGACTGGTCTGGCATGCACCCAGACCTCTATAATTTTCACACCAGATCTCCGGTTACCACTTCAGCTGCCTCAGGCTCCTCAACTTACTCTGCCTCGTCACTAACAGAGCCTCTGGGGTCTTTAGGCAATCCCCGGTCTAACCAGTACTGCCACTCCTGGAACGATGGGCGCTGTTGATGGCCCTTTGGTCGCTGCCGGTTTCGTCACTCCTGTGAATCGTGCCACGGGGACCACCCCCGCATTTACTGCCCTCACCGCTCCGCACGGAGAGAACGGTCCCGCTCCCCTTCTCAGTCAAAGGGGGGTCACTGCCGTCGCTAGGCCACCTCTAGCCAATTCAGCTGTAAATAGTTTTGTTTCTGTTCACGTTGGTTCTCATGGTAACTTTTCAGCGTTAGAGTTGCGTTCTCCTTTTGTTTTACCTTCTCAGCAGCAGGGTCTGCCAAGTTCCGGTTATTCGTTGTGTTCTCCAGCTGTTTGTCTTTTAAGACCAGTTTCTCAACTTACTCCTATTAATGTGAATAGATTCCAGCATGAACTCTGACATCATCCTAACCCAGACAAAGTCGCATACGTGGTCCAAGGCCTTCGCGATAGTTTTCACCTAGGCTTCAATTACAGTACTTCCCTGAAGCCGGCAACAGGGAATATGGCTTCAGCACTCCTAAACCCTCAGGTCATCGACAGCTACTTGCAATCTGAAGTTCATCGGAAGAGTGGCGTGCCCCTTCTCCCAGCCTCCCCTCCCTGTTCTCCATGTGAGTCGTTTCGGCGTCATCCCCAAACGCCACCAACCTGGGAAATGGTGTCTTATCCTGGACCTGTCTAGCCCTGCAGGCCACAGTGTCAACGACGGAATAGCGTGCGATGATTATTCTCTGCAGTACATGAAGGTAGATGACATTATTGCAGGCATAATGCGGCTGGGGCGGGGTTCCCTTATGGCGAAATTTGATGTGCAAAATGCATACCGTATTGTGCCAGTCCATACAGAAGATCGCCAGTTGTTGGGTATGAAATGGCGTGGTGCCTTTTATGTTGATATGGTCCTGCCTTTCGGTGTCAGGTCAGCTCCACATATCTTCACATGTATAGTAGATTAAGTGGAGTGGGTGGCCAAGCAAAACTACGATGTCACCTTCCTGATGCATTACCTTGATGACTTCCACACTCTTGGCCCTCCCGGCTCCTCTGTATGTCAACACAATCTGGACAGGTCAATTGCCAGACAAACTAGAAGGGCCATCGACGTGCCTAACCATCCTGGGCATTGAACTGGACTCTCTTAATCTGCTGGCACGCCTTCCTCAGGACAAATTTGATGGGATAACTGCCTTGTTGGAGGATTGGTCACAAAAGCGTTGGTGTAAGGGAAAGTTCATTTAAAGGCGGGGGATGAAGATATTGAGGGGGGGCTCCGAAAATTTTTAGACACCCGAAGGGGGGGCTCTGAAAAAATTGTTGCGCTAGGAGGGGGGGCTCCGAAAATTTGTATACTTCAAAACAAACACATGACATCATCATACAGATCGGATGGTTTTCAACTCAACAATTTAATGACCTGTGCAACTCAGCTATATCACGTGGTTTACAGATATAACAAATGTAGTCTCAGTAATTATTACACTCTTGTTCATCTCAAAAATGCTTTAGAAAAATGTATCACAACTGTATCTCAAGTTTGTCATAGTATAAACCATTGAAGACAATAACGGTAAATATATATATTAAGAGCAACTCCGTGCAAATATCGACCAAAGTGCGGCAAGGCTCAAAAAATAAAAATCGCTCTTCTTTGGCATACTGATAGACTTTAGTAAGTGTACAAACGCCATGTAGTTTTTTCTTCGAAAGATCTGTTCGTTTCCGAGAAAAACAAGAAAACCGTTTCAAGCCCCGCGGTCGATTTCGCAAGCCGAAAACAGGGTTGAAATTCATCATGATTCGCTCGACTTGCATTTCAAAACAACCGCGCTAGAAAAAAAGCTTGTTGCTAAAATTGTAAGTATAACTAGTCGTTGACCAAAATATATAATATTTTTAGCATTACAACAGTCTCAGTAATTAAAAAAAAGGTAAAGCGTATGTCTACCTGTTGTTCAACCACGGAAGGTAGTTGAAAAAAGCGACGATTTTCGTCATGTGCCTTTGATTAGAATTTTTCAAGATTGAAGGGGAAAATACTACAAGCATCAAACTATTATGTTATGTTAAAATTATTTTGGCGAAATCATTTTGAGCTTCTCAGAAATAATTTGAAATTCGTGTTACAGACAACATAAAATAACGGCATCCAACACACGAGTCACACAACCACCGCCAACAATTTGACTTTAGGTTTCCTTTTACAACGCTGGTAGCCTTGATATATAGAACAACTTTTTAAAAAAGCTCACCCTAACCTGTATCCGTTGTACTTCAAGCTCCAAGTTGTTTCATTTTGCCGCCTTATCACCTTTCTTACCGTAGTCGTGAAGTCCGCTGGAATGTGTGCATTGGAGGTGCGTGACAGCTTTCTGGTAATTTCTTCATCCCTCTGTTTTCTCTAATGTTTTCAAGTTAACATCTCATGTTTGTTAAAAATTTTGAGAACCCTGGACCTTAAAAAAGCCGTCTATAAAACAAAGCGCGGTAGTTTAACTGTCAACAAAGCGAAGTTGCTTGCTCGTGGATCCGTCCACTTCAAGGTAATCTGATTTGCATAGGAGTGTGCGAAGGGTCTACTTCCGGTGCCGAGTATACACGTGACGAGCTTCACCGACTTTCACCCGTTACTTCCAGTACACTGAAGAAGATTCATCTTTTATACTCCTCCTTCTTCAAAAATACTGCAGTTGACATTATTTTACCTGAGAATTATCTTTAATATTTTGACATTTAGGCATTTGATTAACATTATCGAATTAAATTTAGTTTATTTTGATTCAACCGTTCATTCCCACTTGAAAAAGAAAAAAGATCTTTGCAAAAACACTGTTTGTGTGCGCTCTTCTTCGATGAAGCTATGGAAGGTTCGTGCTCCTTCGAGTCATTAGTAGGTACTCTGTGTTCGTTTGATAGAAGGGATAAGCAGAGATCAACTGAGATTGTTCCTTTGTCGCTGTCAAACTATTAAGGACGTAACTGGGCATAGGTTGACATGGTCTCTTTCTGGTATTGAAAGCGAAACAGACTTTATTTTAGCTCAGAACTGACCAGCTAGACCATTCCCGTCGCAATGATAATTTCCCTTTTAATCAAACTCTTCAGCTAGATCAGTCAAATCCGCAATGGCATGCTCGAAAGAGAACGTTTTTAGGCAAAACTCAGGCAAAGGCCCAGCCGGCCAGTTCTGACAAATGGAAAGCGCCCTAAGTTCCTTTAATATATCCCCTTTCCATCGTTCTGAGCTCGGTATTGGATGGCGACGGAACAGTTATTCCAGTTCGTGCCAAGTTCCACAGGAAAGCGCCAATCACATAATTGAAAGAAGAGGGAAACCTGTTAAAGCCGACAAAAGAGTTAGAGGAAGAACATTTCAGAATATCTATCAGCAAACCGGTATCCTCATTCCTTCAGGTTCAGGTACTCTTGGTTTATTCACTTTATTATATTCTAATTAGTCACTTAGATTCAATCCACGAATACTGTATAAAGTTTATCATTGTTGTCAACTCTCTTAGATAACCCAGAGTCTCCCGGGTACGGTACCAATCCACCTAATCTGTCCGAGAAAATAAACCTTTCACTTTTTCTCTTAGTTTGAAATTAAACCCGATTTCCCCCAGAGTAAATATATATATATATATATATATTTTTTTTTTTTTTTTTAATTTAAAGATCATAGTCCAGTTCTGATGGCATTTGTTGTTGTCGTTTCATTTTATTTTATTTTATTTTTTTACATTTACTTCAAACGACTGACTTTTTCCTCATTCAAGCCAACGTGTGGGGAAATGGGCAATGACGAAGCCATTGATTTCAAGCTCAGTAGCAGATGCGCTTGCAGAATGTTACAAGAACGCAGGACACTGGGAATCACGAAGAGAAATCTTAGGGAGCTTAAGCAACAGCGTTTTTGAGCGACGGACGTCAACCGGAAGTGGACTTTTTGCATCATTGGGAAGTGGTTTGGTTGAAACTCTCTGGTAAATCGTCTTTAAAAGAGAAAAGAAACTCAGCAATACAAGTTTGTTAGCGTCAAGGCATATAAAAAGGGAGAAGGCCTCACTTCCGGTTGACGTGCGTCGCTCAAAAACGTCTTTGCTTAAGGTCCCTCTTATCTATTAGGGACGGACCATTAGAAGAGTTATGGGGGGGGGGAATTTTTGTGCCGCGGAAATTTTTTTCGTTATCAAATTGCTTCATGAATTTCAGTTTTAGGCCGTAGCATGAATATTTTTTAGGGTTAATTGGCGTGCATAAATTTTTTTCATTTAATTTTCCCTTGTGCGAATATATATATTTTTTTGTACTTCGCCCGCCGCCCCCAATAATGTTTGTTTCAATTCACGAAAAGTGGCATTTAGCACAGCAGAAATTACATTTGTCATATATTAAGAAGGCACTCTGAAATACCGCACGTGCAGGCCAGGATTGCCCACGTGCAGCCAACAACTGGAAGTTCCATCTGTGAAGATGGGAAGAAAACATGTACACAATTTTTTGTTAAGACATCTGTTGATTTGATAATGCCCACGTCTCGAAGCAATGAAAATCTTCATTGAGGCTACCAATTAAATTCTTCATTTTCACAAATTTTATATTATACCAGGTTGTACGTTTGCTTTTCGCCTGCTTTTAGCGGATCCAGACCCCGGGCCCCGGGATCTTGACAGCTGTAATCTGATATTACTGTTGACAGTAATTTGCATA